GTCACTACGTTTAAATAGGTTGACTTGGGACATTTTTTTCGTGGTTTCTGTATTAGACCCGTCGTCCATTTATTTGGAAGTCAATGATTCTCGCCATTATTTTTACTGTTAGTGTGCAGCTGGCTGTTTCTTTAGCTGTTTACATTACTCGTTGTTAGTCATTTCTTAATAGATAAAAGTTTAGAGTACAGGACAGAAATAGACCTTCATATTTGCTTTACTGGCCTAGGCCGGTAAGTTGAGCCATGGTCCATAAATGTCAAAACTTGTAGGTAGTAAAAAAAATCATACTTTAAAGTACCAGGCAACCGACTGTATGACAGATCAACACGTCACCAACGATGATCCGGCCGATACAACGCCCGTGGACCACCTTGGCGCGATCACCGAACATAGCTCGACACGTCTACAGAGTAAGACTTGACTGACTGACTTGTTGCTGTCTCTTTCTTACTTACTGTTTGCATATATCACATTCTTTGTCTTCGTCACTGCTCACTCTAGATTGTTCTGTTTTGATATTGACTTTTCTGACTGATCGTTTGAGTCTGTCACATCATAGATTTCTAATTTAATTAAGTACAATGAATCGCACAATCTGTTTCAAAATGTAAATAAGAACGCTGTGTAAACTTTTAAAAGGTCTTTTTTAAACAAAGAATTTTTACAGCTGGTATAATCGGTTTCTCTTTTTTTTTTACAAAGCCACAGTCACTGATCTGGCAATGATTATGAGGTTTTATGTTAGTTGCTTAGAATAATAACGCATAGAAACCTAGTCCGCACACGCTAAGTGAGGCAAATTGAAACGCTCCCAAAGGGCCTACACGAGCGGGCGGGTCTTCAGTGCTCAAGGTCAACTTGCACCGCGAACAGCTCCAGAATTTTAGCTAAAAATGACGAAATGTGCGGTAAATGAGTGTAAAAATACGTCAGACAAATATAAAATAGATACTAACATCACATTCCACAAGGAAGTAACGCGTTTCAACTTGTATTTTTGTATAAATATTCACTAAAACCGAAAATTAACCTACTACTAAAACTAGCCTACATGAATTTGATTTTTGCCTCACTTGTGACAGTTCGTTTGATATGAAACTATCATTCTATGCGTTATTATTCTAAGGTTAGTTGTATGTTTTTAGTGATGTAGTGAGAAATTGAATTATAATAATAATAATAATAATAATAATAATAATAATAATAATCTTTATTTCCTCGTACAAGGGTACAAAGTTTTTACAATGTAATTTACATGAAAATGCTTAAATAATAGGGTACCTTTGCAAGAGACTGGAGTCTATACTAGGAACTAACCTGTGTGACAGATCTCCAGGCTCTCACCCAACCTGATAAAAATTATAATTATGTAGTGGTATTTGGTGTTTACAGAAGAAATTACTTTATATTTGACGTTATTGCGAACGGCACACCACTACATAAATGAAATAATGAAAAAATGAAAACGATCCTATCACTCGCTAATATCACTTTATTAGCAGAAAGAGAGTGCTAGGAGGATCCTCTGCAATCTCCCCTTAAAATATCGTAAAACAAAAAATATCTTATAATAAAATTGTGTATTAAGTTTACCAAGTTCAGGCATCAATTTGAATGTTGTTTCTTAACTGACTTCAAAAAAGGAGGAGGTTCTCAATTCGACTGTATGTTTTTTTTTGTATGTATGTTACGCGATAACTCCGGTATTTGTGAACCGATTTTCATGATTCTTTTTGTGTTGGAAAGGGCGTACTTCCATAGTGGTCCCATTTCATTTTGAAGAAAATCATCCATTTCTAAAGGTGGCTGATCACGCACGAACATTCATTTTTATAAATAGCGCCTAAATTTTACTTAAGGAGCAATTATTTTAATGGTTGGTTTTGCTATTCTCCAATTCAAGGCGTTTTTCTTTCTCAATATACTTTGAGTAGTGAGAACCGATTTTTACTATCACCTGTGTCAAGTCCTGTATAGTGGCGAACTAGGGGATATTTCAATAAAACTTGGCAAATAGATGTAACTCCGCGTACTTTTGAGGTCGGTTTTTTTAGTACTCTGTACTGAGATTATTTATGATACGCATGACTTGTTCGTTCTGTCACTTAGGTGGCAAGCGTCACGCCTGTTCATAACAGTTGTAGTGCAGCTCAAAGGGCACTGCCACTGCGCTGCTCAAAACTTTAAATCACAAAAATTTGAGGGGCACTACCACTGCGCCCATCACTCCGAGACATAACTTGAAAAGTCTAATGTGCCTGTAATTTCACCAGCACCCTTACCCTTCAAATCCGGAACCTTCAGTGGATATGAGGAGGAGGAGATCGTGTGAGGGGCATTGGCATTGTTGGTAACGAGAAGGTAGATTCACTTGCTATGCGAGCTTATTGTACTGGCGATAGGATATCTATTTTGCCCTATTACGCAGATTTTGATGAGAGGTACTTGGTACTTGGTACTTGGTGCAACGGGCTGGTATCCGCAACTCGACGACAAAGCGCCTATTTTGCGTGTGGTGGGTGCAGGGTCCTACTCGTGCCACCCAAGCTCCTCCAGGAATCTCAGCAGCCTCCTTGGTTTGCTGAAGACTTCGGGGAGCGACCTTGGCACTCCAAGGTATTTTGCCCTGTAGTTGGCCACGCCGGAGCACTGAAGTAGGATGTGCGCAGCCGTTTCCTCCCCCTCCATGCACGCTCTGCATAGAGGGCTGTCTGTGATACCTAAATTGAAAAGGTGTTTATTATATGGACCATGACCCGTTAGGGCGGCAGTTAGAGTGCGAAGCTCTTGCCTTTTGAGTTTAATTAGTATTCGAGATAGACTGGCATTGAGCGTTGGGAGTGCTTCCCTCGCCTGTCTACAAACCGTAAGGGTGGTCCATGTATTATTATGTGAAGATTTTGTACCTTTGTGTATAGTTGTTCTAGACCATTGGGAGGGGAGGGACACTATCGGTTCTGGTCCTACAGCGTCCGTCTCCGACCCTTTCCTGGCTAGTTCATCTGCTGCATCATTGCCACGTGAACCGCTGTGTCCTTTAATCCACTGAAGAGTTACGTGGTTTTGTATACATACCTCCATGAGTGCTTGATGGCATTCGTAAATGAGCCCTGAGTTTATGTCATAGCTATTCAGTGCTTGAAGTACTGACATACTGTCGGAGAGTATTCGAATGGAGTAGTTCTTTACTCTTCTCGCTATGATTGCTTCTGCTGCCAACTTGATGCCCATGCATTCAGCCTGGAATACTGTGTTGTGGTCACCAAGCGGTGCTGATATCCTGATATTGAGGTCTTCTGAGAATACCCCAGTACCTGTTCCTGAGTTTGTTTTAGATCCGTCGGTGAAGACTCGGACCTCTCTGGGGTTCAGTCCTTCGTTGGGATCTTCAAATAATTGTATCTTATATTTCTTGTCAAAGATGTATTGTTTTGGGATCCTATCCACAACCGCCTCCAGTAGCGGTTCCTCATTGACAGACTTGTAGAGGATTTCTGTATGTGGGGTCCTCATGTGCTTCCAGAGGCCGGCTTTGTTTAGACGCACTGCTGTTGACGCCGCTTCCTGTCTGATGAACAGTGGGAGGGGTCGAAGGTCCAGCATCGCTTCGAGGGCTGCAGTTGGAGTTGTCCTCATGCAGCCCGTCGTCGCCATGCACGCTAGTCTTTGGAATTTGTCCAGTTTGTCGGTTGCGGTCGTCAGCTTGGTTCGTGGCCACCATACTATCGCGCCGTAACTGATCATGGGTCTTATCACCGCAGTGTAGAGCCATAGTGTAATCTTGGGTGAAAGTCCCCATTGTTTACCCACCATTCTATGGCACTGCCAGAAGGTGATAGTGGCTTTTTTAATTTTGTTGTCCATATGTTTGTTCCAGTTCAACTTGTTGTCCAGTATTACTCCCAAGTACTTGACTTCGGTTGATATCTGTAGTTCTGTGCTGAAGAGTTTGGGTAATCGGTAGTTACCTAGTAGTCGTTTGTTGGTAAACATTACTAGTTCCGTCTTTGTTGGATTTACCGATAGTTCATATGCTCTGCACCATCTTTCCACAATTCGGAGAGCCGCTTGTGTAATGTCGCAAAGTGTGTTGGCATAGTTTCCTGTTACCAGTATAGCTATGTCATCAGCATATCCTATTGTATAGAAATGTTCTTTGTTGAGTTTAATGATAAGGTCATTTACGACCATGTTCCACAGCAGAGGCGACAATACTCCTCCTTGAGGGCACCCCTTCGCTACTATTGCCCATGGGGTCTCATTTGCTGTTGTTTTTATTGTTCTTTGTTTCAGCATGTTGCTAATCCAGCTAATTAGCACTTCATCTACGTTGTGTCTTCTCATTGCTGATTGTATGCTGGAGAAGTTCGTTTTATCGAAGGCTCCTTCAATATCTATAAAGGTGCCTAGGCAGATTGCTTTGTCTTTAAGGGCCACTTCTATCTTGCCCACAACGGCATGTAGGGCCGATTCAGTGGATTTGCCTTGGCTGTATGCATGTTGGTTACCATGTAATGGAATGTTCTTAAGTGCTCCATCCCTCAGTTCTCTGTCACATAGCCTTTCCAATGTCTTCAAGAAGAATGATGTGAGGCTAATAGGTCTGAAGGACTTCGCGTCAGTGTAGATGTAGTGTTTTGATGAGAGACCCAAAGAGAAAGGCATCTGGTTCAAAATAATTCAACCTGAGCCTCTGGAAGTTCCGTGGATTGATAACTGTATGCTGAATAGAGTTAGTGTTGTGACGGCTCTGAGGTTGCGCTCTGGGCACATTCCTTCAAAGAAGTTTACCTTTTTGATGGGCATTACATCAACTCCATATTGTAGCAATTGCGTTGTCATTGAAGACGTTTACCACGTTTTGATGAAATAACAGTATACTGGCCGTTCTTTCATTGAATGAACCCAAGATATTGTACAAAGTATATTTAGATAGTCTTACTCTAGGTTAGATGTATAAATTAAGTAGCATTACGGAGCGACATTACCATTAACGGACACGGTAGAGCTCTTTAAATTTAGATGATGATGCTTTACTGCTACGAAACAAACCTGTTGCCTCTGCTTAGGAGGTGGTAGGTCGGTAGGTAGGAGGCCATTGGGCTACCACGGCTCTTCTTTCTTCACCTTCAGAAGAAGAATGGAACGAATACGTCTTATTAAAGCCTCCATGTTTATTACAGCTCGTAGACCCGTACCACAAAGAGCTGTTTTCGCCAGCCGGCCGCAATGACGTCACTCCCCAAAGCAGCATCGCCGCGTCCTGGAGACCAGCGGCGCCTGCGCCGGTTCAAGAACCTTGGAGAGGTGAGTTCTGATTAGTATCAACGCCTTATTTGACGACTAAACTTGATCAGTCGTTAACACTGTAAGACCTGGATAAGGAGGCGCCGGAAATGTTCTAAAGTGACGTTTTAGTCACAGTAGAGTCCTTTGTGAAAGAGCTCATCTATTTCTTCTGGTTTCTTATTTATTTGATGTACAAAACAGTTTGCATTGAATAGTAATTCAATCAATATTACAATTCATGGTTTTAATTTAGTATATGAACCTAACATATGTATATTTTTTTATAATATCAAGCGATGGGACGAACAAGTCGTGCGCCTGGTGGTAAGCGACAGGCCTATCCATAACAGTTGCAGTGCCACTCAGAGCTTTATATCTCAAAGATCTGAGGGGCATTACCACTGCGCCGGTCACCCTGAGACATAAGTTGACAAGTCCCATGTGCCTGTAATTTCACCAGCACCCTTACCCTTCAAAGCCAGACCGCAGTAATGCTAACATTACTGCTTGGCGGCAGAAATAGGTAAGATGGCAGTAGATACTACCCTGGACGAACGCTTTCTCAAGGAGCTCTAATACTACTAAAAATATGTACATGCTGCTTGTGAACACAATATTAAAAAGTAAGCATACAGCTTCTTCAACATGTGCATATTTTAATAAAAAATAAATAATATACAAAAGCTTAAAAGTAGTGGAAATAAAAATAGAAATGGCGACTAATGAGAAGACGAGGCGAAGTGATTCTGAATAGTATTACAAAATCTGTAAATAAATGTTATTGTTAAAAACATCAATGATACTTACAGATTCTGATGTTATTAATTCATTAAAGGTTCGGCACATTCTCGTCAAGGGATAATATAATCTCAGTACAGAGTACTAAAAAAACCGACCTCAGAAGTACGTGGAATTACGTCTATTTGCTAAGTTTTATTGAAATATACCCTAGTTCGCCACTATACAGGACTTGACGTTGGAGATAATAAAAATAGGTTCTCACTACGACACTACTCAAAGTATATTGAGAGAAAAACGCCTTGAATTGGAGAAATAGCAAAATCAACCATTAAAGTAATTGCTCCTAAATTAAAGTTAGGCGCTATTTATAAAAGTGAATCTTCATGCGTGAACAGCCACCCTTCGAGGTGGATGCTTTTCTTCAAAATGAAATGGGACCACTATGGAAGTACCCCTTTTCCAACAAAAAAAGAATCATGAAAATCGATTCACAAATACCGGAGTTATCGCGTAACATACATACAAAAAAAAGAACATACAGTCGAATTGAGAACCTCATCCTTTTTTGAAGTCGGTTAAAAAGGAATGATTACTTTTTTATACATGCAATACAAATGTTTTTCGGCGACGAGGATTTAACTTAATATTAAAGTTAGGAGTCTATTTTAAAATGGCTTTGGTTGATTTTGCATACCATAATGGCATGGTGGAACGCCTCCATCGTCAGCTCAAGGCAGCTCTCATGTGCCACTCTGATACGTGGACGAGAGCGTTGCCTCTGGTGCTTCTCGGCATGCGGACAGCTTTTAAGGAGGACATCAATGCGTCGTCAGCGGAACTCGTTTTCGGCGAGACCCGTAAATGAACCAAAACCAATTTGGGGAATTTATTGCTCCCCTAACAAACAATAAAACGGCCTCATGAACTTTGTGAATTATAATTGTAAATATAATTATTTTGTTTCGTGGTTTTTACAGGATTGTATCAAATCGAGCAAACAATTTGCAATCGCTGACATGACAATATATGTAATAAAAAACCGTCAAACATTTACGATAAGTGTGACACTCTCCTTGGCGACTCTCGTCCAGAGACTGTTACAGCCAGCCGGTGATAATAGGCGGCGTCTAAAGCCGCCACAAGTGAAAGTGATGAAGCAATCACTTTGAAAAATATACAGTATAAACTCATCACAGAGTACTAAAAAACCGATCTCAAAGTCATTCATCATCTCTTCATTCCCTAGTTTGCCACCGTTAGAGGTGGAATATTTTCTTTAAATTTAAATGGGACCACTTCTGAGGGAACATTTTTCCAACCAAAAAAGAGTTATCAAAATCAGTTCACAAATGCCGGTGTCATCGCGTAACATACATACAAAAAAAAGGTACAGTCAAATTGAGAGCCTATCCCACTAGTTCCTACCAGCTATCCCCCTTGGCGGGGACAAGTGTTTTTGTTTTTTTTTTCCACTCTTCCTTACCAATAAAATCTCTTGACGTGTACAGTACAGTTTCCACACAAAAATATCTAATCAAATATTCACAGTAATATCTTTTTGATAGATAATTGTAGTAACCTCCTCCATGTTTTGAAGGCGGTTAAAAATTGAGGATGTACACTGATATACAGTGTGAAAACACGATTCTCAAAAATTTTCATGATAGAAAAAAAAACACAAACTTACCTCGAAATTTTACATAAAAACCCCAGTATTCAATAGGTACTTTACCAATGATTTTTTTAAATATCAACTGACACGTATAGTAAACGATGTACATTTTTCAAATGGATTTTCGCTTGTAAAAAAATAAATTATGAAATAAAGCCAGTGTCCCTGATACTCGACCTGCTCGTTCCAAGCAAAATGAACCGTATTAGTACGGGAAAAATTTTAATTCTAGCTGAGGTAGAACCGACTTTTAAATCTGAGTCACCGATAAAACTCTTGGTACGTTTGTCGATGGAATGTGGCCAGTTTTGTAGTTGAAAATACACCTCGATACGTTTTTTGTTCAACACTTATTTACCTACATAACAGTAATTAGAAATATTCATTCCTGTACCCAATTATAGTTAAAATTTCACACTAAAAACAAAGCGTTTATTACGAAGAAACTGCGGAAATTTTAGTTGCGCAAGAGTATTTAGTATATTTGTACGTGAAATGGACCGAATGAAATTACCTATTCATTTTTTCTCTTCATATAGTGTTGATTCAGTTAAAACTTTCTTTTGATCCACGCCCACGGGTTTTTATTTACTGTTACGTGATAGAACGTCTTTACTTCGTATATGGTAATAGTGACTCTAGATTTTTAACGTCTTTATTGCCGTAGTTCCATCTGTGAGAAATCTATTAGATATAGAAGGTCATTCCATTGAGTTTACATTGCAATTATTATAAAATTTCGTCGCCTTAGTTTCTCAAACTCGTATCTTAAAGCACAAAGTTACAGGCAGACAAATTTGGCAGGCTTCATATTCACACGCTGGCTTTATTCTTAAAGTGGTGCATTCAGAATAATCACTCTTTATAAGATACGAGCTTGAGAAAGTAAGGCATTATTTTTATTTATTTATTTCATTGTTTTAAGAAAAAAGTATACATAAATAACGTAAAACACCGTTAAACCCTACTTGGGTTTGTCTCGATGTCATTCATTCCTTGCTATGAACAAACCAATACAAAATATAAAAAAAAATCTTATAAGTAGGTACACATTGTTTTTATTTTCATTTGGAGGCATGCATTTGTACAACAGTGAAGACGGCAAAGTATTTTGTTATTCGACTAGACACTGAGCGAACCGTCCGGAAACCGGTTTGTTAACAAGTATACAGGATGCCCCAAAAACAAATGTTAGCACATTAAGTAAAGAATAAATTTAATTTTAAATGTATATATTTTATAGTATATGTAGTATTTATAAATAATATGTATTATTACTATATGTAAATAGACATCAGTTATGGAGTAAAATTTTATGACAAAAATTAGTGTCTGAACATTATGTATCTGTGTGTGTTGAAAAATATCTTTTGAGTATGATTTTGATATTTTTAGTATTGATTTTATCACGAATTTCTTTAGGTAATTGATTAATTTGTTTTGGTACAATATGTTCAGATGTTCGTTTACCATAGTAGTTGTTAAATTTAGGCTTTTGCAATATTGTTTTGGTTATTTGTCTTGTAATTATATTGTTAGATATTGGATTTAGAATTTCAGATCGAAAGTATTGTTCTTTTAAAATTTGGAGTCTAAATTTTTCATGAATCGATTTGCTATTCTGTTAAAATTTAGTTGCAATCGTAGTTCAGTCTCAGTGGAGGGGCAGTGATGAGTAGTGCTGACATTGGTTCATTTCATCACATGCCTGACTAATTTATTTGGTTTACCAACAGCGATTACATTGTGACTTATTTCCCAGGTACGATAATTTGTTGTTTTAAATTTAATACACATCTAATTACATGTAAACACCTGATGCAAAAAAAAATGGCAAAGGAACTTATAACATTTAATTTAACTACGTAATATTATTAGAAACGAATACTAATAACTAACTACCTACGTTTATACAACAAAATGTTATTTTATATTAATATTATTTAAAAACAAAGGCAAACAATCTGCATGTACGTCCAAATATTCGCTATTTATATTATACAAGTTGCAAATTCTTTATATGGGTGAGTTCATGCCAATTTTGGTTCTTCTATTATTCTTTGGGGGTATCTATGAGGCACTTTAAATCTTATTTGGCTTAGTAGAATCGGACAATCAATTTGGATTCGTATTCACTTATAAAGGAAAATAAGATAAATCAATTTTTTAAACTCGTTTAATCAATAATTTAGTCTTCAAATTAAATATCCTATATAATATTAGTAGTAGTAATAGACTGTGTCATAGCGACGTGCCATTGAAGAGCAGAATGCCAAACGTATCGACAGACAACTGAGATGATTTATAATCTCAGTACAGAGTACTAAAAAAACCGACCTCAGAAGTACGTGGAATTATATCTATTTGCCAAGTTTTATTGAAATATCCCCTAGTTCGCCTCTGTACGGGACTTGACACAGGAGATAATAAAAATCGGTTCTCACTCCTCAAAGTATATTGAGAGAGAAAAACGCCTTGAATTGGAGAAATAGCAAAAGCAACCATTAAAATAATTGCTCCTTAAGTAAAATTTAGGCGCAGTTTATAAATAAGGATGTTCATGCGTGATCAGCTACCCTTACAGGTGGATGATTTTCTTCAATATGAAAGGGACCACTATGGAGGTACCCTCTTTCCAACAAAAGAAGAATCATGAAAATCGGTTCACAAATACCGGAATTATCGCGTAACATACATACAAAAAACAACATACAGTCGAATTGAGAACCTCCTCCTTTTCTTGAAGTCTGTTAAAAATTAGCAGAATTAGGGCCCTGCGTCCTGATTTTGATTGAAATTGGAATCGACCCGATTCTCGAAATCAGATGGGTTTCTGAGCGAGAAGATGAATCTGATTCCTACTATATCTTTCTAATTTGTGAGTTAAATCGACTATTGTTCCGATTTGAAATGTCAAAAGTTTCCGATCGGCCAGTTGTGAACCGCAATTATGCGCCTCGACTCGAAAGAGACGCAGTTTCCGTTCGGGAGAGGCAAACAAAAAAAAAAAAAACAAAATCAAGCTGCTGGTAGCTTTACAACTACCAATAGTTGACAAGAGATGTCGCTTTAATTATTGTTTTTTGCCGTAGCGCCATCTATGAGAAATCTATTTCTTCACTTAGCTAGGTACTTTTACAGGTAGATTTAAAAGCTATTACTACTACATTGGGACCAATTTCAATGATTCTTTTTTGTTGGAAAAGAGGGTACCTCAGTAGTGATCCCATTCAAATTTGAAGAAAATATTTCACTTCTAAGAGTGGCAATTTAGGAGATGAATAAGCGGTGACAATTCCGTGCAAAACGGATTTATTTTCTCTTTATTTATTCAGGGGCTTTGATCGTTATTGAACATGTCAGCCCCATTAGAAAAACAATCAAGAAAAACAATCAATACGGTATTGGACTTAGTGCACGAGCGACATCCGAAGTCGGGCCGAGTTTACTAAATTTGCATATTCTCGGATTCGGAACGGACACGGATATGCGCAAACACAGTTAAGGACAGGCGTTTTGCTTACCACGTCCCTTGGTATAATAAAAAAAATGCGTTTGCAGAACTGTCTTCACAATATCGAATTATTCTGTTTCCAGAGCAAGCAAAGTACGCCCCGGAGCCCGTATCCTACCTACCCAAAGCCGAACCATGGAGATTGCCATATTCTATTTCAAAAGAGCAACAAGCCGCCATTCTGCACCACAAACAGGCACTGACGAAAGGTAGTAATAGTTATTTGGTAAGCAAGGTTCTAAAGTTATTATTTGTGGCGTGTTTATTTATTTATTTTGTACAACTTACACTTACAGTACTTATTACTAACATGTAAGTCATAGTTACAAAAAAGGTTGAGTCTATCACCGGCCAAAGATAGGATGCGGAATTTGGACCACAGAGCTTTGGGCGGTGACCGCCTCCAAATAGTAACCAGCGGATGTTAGAAATTTTGATTCATTGTTGCTGAACACGTCAATATCATTTATTTTGCTTAAGAGGGAGCATGCCCAAAAACTTTTGACATTGGCTCCGCCCACATTTGTGAGACAAATATATGCCTGAAGTTCGCGTGACATGCGACAGGAGATGTTGAATTTTGCGCATTAAAAGTACCAAATTCGTTTTAGCGGAATAACTCTAAAACTAAAGGGATTAAAAAAAAATCCGTAGTGACAGTTGTCGATCATGCATAAATATAATTAATTATCTAATTTTTGATTGATTCGTTTCGAGGATGAATCGAAAAAATGTGACAATTAGAGGTAATTTCGTGATTTTTATCTATCGAGGAAACTTTATTGTTTTATGTTTCTGATTAGTGTCTATGCTTGAATATATCGTGTAGTTACTCATACAATATTTTATTTTTAACTTTAAAGTGGATATACCCCTCTAAAATTAAATCGAAGATAAGGAATTTTTCCTCTGCTCCTCTTAAGGATTCAATTACGGCTAGAGCTTCGAAGAATGGTGTCCGTCTTAGTGTCACTGTGCGGGTCAAATAAAAGTTGAATAGAGGGTATTTGCGCTGACGAAGGACGTAACGTGAGGTTGGCGGGATAAAAAAAGGAATTTGAGCCAATAGAGGAGGGTTAATTATACATCCTCTTATTAGGTTAAAAATATATCTTAGAAGCGCCAGTTTTCGCCTGATCTCAAGCGATCTGTACGATACCATGCCCAAAATAAAGGGTGCAGGGTACATATAAGGATAGTACCCATAAAGTTTACTATACAAATATCTCAAAAATTATTTCTGGATTCGTTCTGTTATAACCCAACCTAATATGGGTATTTTGCAAAGGTTGATATTACTATTAAAGCCGTATTTTTCCATAATGCAATGTGCACGTTTTCATATTTTGCGTAAGCCTCAAATCAAGGCAGTTAGACATTGGCATTCGTAAAGAGCGGTACATCGCTCCGGGAATCGGGAAGTCAGTTAGTTATATATTGAGTGTAATTTTCTGCAATAAATCGGGTGTTCGGAAGTTAGTTCTTTTTTTTTTAAAAAGACAAATCGGAATGGCCACCTAACAGTTCCAACATTGCTATATAGAGTTTATTGTGGGGATTCCACGAGTGCTTGTGTTGATTCCTGAACGTAGCGAGGGTTTCAAGCTACGAGACGCAAAACAACTTTTCTGCTGAGCGAAACACACAACTTTTCATCTCGAGAAAAATGATAGATGAAAGAAAAACAGTTTTAATAAACAACAAACATTAGTTATCGTTGTCGATTTAATGTCAAATAATAATAAGAATAAAATATACCAACTGATTTATGTTACATAAATAATCGCGTAGTACCCTTACAAGTACCGACAGGTGACAAGAGATGTCGCTTCAGTAATTGTAATTTTTAAGTTTACCACCATTACGTTTGATTATTTTTGTGAAATTACTCCACTAGTTTGTTATAATTATTAATACAAAGATCGAACAGTTAGAAAAAATGCTTCGATCCGGCTGGATTCGTACCGATGTCTTCTAGCAAACCGTGCCAGACGCTATGTCAACTAAGCCACGGAACGAACCAGCGAACCTTATGAATTTTTCGGTTTTGGTTTTTTAACAACTTTTTTGCCGTCTGTGAGTAAATCTATTTCTTCACTCAGTCAGGTACATTTGTTTAGGCACATAGTCAAAGTCAAAATTAAATAATCATTTATTCCCATTGACTTACAAATAAATGGACGACGGGTCTAATACAAAAACCA